TCACTCTTACACGTCACGCAAAACCGGGAACAACCAGATGCAAGGGTAGACAATCGGTCTTCAGATCAAGTCCCTTGTGTCATCACCTTCCAACATTTTCTTGGTCGGTGTCATGGGCTGCTCAACACAGCCTTTCAAGCTGCCCAAGCCAAAAGGACAAACAGCCCTCTCTGTTACCAACCACAGACTGTTTACGGAAGAGCTAGACAGACCCCTGGGCAGTAGCTATTAGGAGGCCTGGGAGAAGGGAGACAGCAAAAGAATCAGCAAATGTTTGTGGGGACAGGTGGGGCTGTCTGCTGTCCCATTACGTATGATGTGATAAAATCTGAAAATCTCTGCATAGAAAACAAGGTTTAAGCTCGGCACATTTACGTCTAAGGACCTTGAACGTTTATAGTTACATGTGATAGCAGGCTGAAGCATTCAGGGTGTGAGAGAATTTAATCTCAGTGGTCTCAAGTACCCGTAGGACAGGCTTGGTTGGTATCCCAGTTTGTCTTCTGACCGTCTTCTGAACGAGCCCACTGGGGGTTCAAAAGAGTCTATAATTTGGTCTAATGATCTGTAATCAACTTTAGACATGGTTGAGTGTAAATACGTTTCTAAAATGAACCATGGCCCTAATGTTTGCTTAATTCTCTTTCTCCACCTCTTAGTCTCTATTTGCTATTACTATATTCTAGGCAAAGATGAGATGGTAAATTACTCGAAGTTTTGCTGAGTGGGACATATGGCTAAGAAAGCTCTGAGCTATTTTTCGTGGCAAACATTTCTAAATTTATGTCATTTTTGGCATTCGGTGAAAATGAAGCATTCTTTCCTCCATTTCTTATGACCAACATAATTTGAATGCATATTCTTTCATTCAACTTTTCTTTTTGAATGCTATCTCGGTGCCCGATGCAAAGTTTCTGTTTTTAAGATAGTGAGGCCCCTGTTTGCAGAGATAATCTCTTATATTTATTTTTTAGATGTCAGTATACCTAAGACAGTACAAGGCATGTTATAAAATGTTCATAAATACTTCTAAAGAATTTGAAAAGCCGTGTATTTAGAGCAACACTTTTTGTGGCTTGGTCCAATGGTTTCCTTAACTCCTTCTTATTTTCTGTGATTTTTATCATAGACAAATCCTGCTTTCACTCTGGCAAGAAGTAGGTTTTCTTTTAAATAAGCAAATCAATACCGAAATAAATACACATTTTTAATAAATGTATATATTAGATATTTCTATATTTCTGTATTTGTGTATTGATGTATTTATTTCCTTCTGAAAACATATTTGGCCATAGTCAGGAAAGAAGGTCATTGCCAGAGACCCCCCTCTGCGCGTTGAACATGACTTTGGCAAGACTTTCTCAGCGATGCCCTCCCCGGAAGGAGGAAGCACAGAGCGGCGGAAATGCTGGGCCGACACTACTAATGATGACGCCCCTTGTACTTGAAAGGCAGGCTGAACCGTGAGAACACATATCCTCAACCAGAACAGTCTGGCTATGAAAAGCCGTAGAATGGCCTGCAGCCCTTCCTCGGCAAAGGAGGTTTGAGACAGAGGATTTCAGGACAGGTAACCCGGACACCTTGTCCAGTGCCTCAGGCCAGGGTTTAAAACACCCCTGGTGTGTAAAGTGTGAATGTTTGGAAGGTCAAAAGGCTCACATTTAAATTTCATTGCAAAGAAAGCACTCAGAAGCCACAGGCAAATTTCATGTTTAGGTGGCAGGATTATCTGGGCCTCTGCTTCTCTCCAGTCCATAGTTAATACAGTGCAAAGAGAAGTAATACCCTGCCCGTATTCACCCAAACACTGGCCCTCTCTTTGCATTATTTATTATCATTCGAAGCAACACGATGCCGCCAATCTTCCCGCTCTATACAGCCTGACCAGTTCCCTGGGAAATACCACTGGGGCCCAAGACAGCAGAGGGTAAAGCAGATATAGGCATGCTTGCTAGAAACTCAAAGCGGGAAGGAAAGCCGAGAAGCATCTGCTGGAATTGCTGGAGGGAGACACCAAATACAGTGACAAAAAGAATGACAGGCGCCAGGAAGAACAATTCAGGTTGAAAAGGAAGAATAATGTCGGAGATTCCCAGGAGGAACAGAGCTGGCGTCACCGGTCAGGAGGAAAGAGAAAAGAATGCTTAAAGTCTTGAGAGAAAACAGAACTCAGGGTCGACCTGGGACTCAAGTCCCTCAGCCCGTCCACGTCTCAACAAACCCCTTTGTGCTCCATCCCAGGGAATTAGGCTGGAACATTCTGATGTCTAAGAGTCTAGGAATTGAAGTACATGCATGTATATTTTTAATGACATCGGAGCTTTATCCAAACTCTAAATTTAACATGGCATCCTTTAAAGCCACTGGAATATTCTGATGTCCAAGAGTCTAGGAACCGAAGTATATACATGTATATTTTTAACGACATCGGTGCTTTATCCAAACTCTAAATTTAACACGGCATTGTTTAAAGTCACACCCCTTGTGTTTCATTTCACTAGTTTCTTTATGAAAAAAAAAAATTCGTTTGGAAACCAACTAGTAAGCATAAAATAAAATGAATGTGGTGAGAGTTGCCAGTATGTGTCAAGAGGGGGTGAAAGGGATTGTCTGATTTGTTAACACCTCATTTTGGGATCAGCCCCTCCATAAATACTCTTCTCACACCTCAGAAAGAACAGGAACAGAATATATTTAAGCTGGGCTTACTGGATGAGTCCAAAGCCTTGTCAGGAGATCTGAAACCTCGAAACCGTAAGTTCTCAGTATGTGAGTACAGTGACATTTACATTTATCCCAACCCTGTAGTCTGTTATTTAAAGAAACCACATTCTTATCTCTCCTTGGTTTTCCTTGTTTGTTTTGTTTTGTTTTGTTTCAATTTATTGAATTTTCTTAACATCTGGCAAATGTCTGTAACGGTAGAAGGGAGAGGGAAGGAGATGGAACAGGAAGAAGGAAATAAACTTGGGATGGGTAGCGGGGGGAGTCCCAGAAATACTTTCCATGCAAGTTTCCATACCGAGGCAATGGTAATGAGAATTTGCTACATGCCAGGCATTGGGTGAGGCATACAAGGCACCATGCTAGATGGACATCAAAGAGAGAGCAAAGAAACACAACAGCTTGGCAGCCACACTGACTTAAAAACCCATTTGCACAGGCTTGAGAGGGCCTGTTGTCTCCCAGGGAGGCTTTGGCATGGCCAGAAGAAAACATCAAAGACACTCCAGACTTCAAATCCCTTCCAAGGGCGTGATCAGCAGGACAGGAAATGGGAAAGTCATCCTGAAAGGAATCTGGAAGGGAAGGGGCTTAGGCGAGGACACCCCTGGTCCTGCACATGAGCTCTCACCCCACGTACATTCAACAGACGTGATATGGCGAACAGCTTGGCACCCAGTCAGTAGCAAGTCTTGCCCCAGCCGCCCCCCGACCAAGAAACTGCGGGGAATAAGGCGGCACGAGAAACGATAATTCAATAAGAGTCTTTTGTCATCGTCACGGTCGACTTAATATTTTGAAAGGACCCCATGGCATGAGAAAGCCTGCCTTCTAAAACAACGGAACAGTAAACAAGCATTCAAAGATAGAAGCCCAAAGGGATGGGAGAAGACCAAACTTAAGCAACAGAAAATGAACGAGTAGGATTTGCCCGAAAGAATATCTAGTATGCTCGATTAAAACTCCTGGTAACGCGGCAGGGTCGCCTCATGCTTACAGTACCTCAGTATGACCGAGGAACCAAAGGTTGCCAACAAGCACAAGGAAAGGCCTTTCATTCCACGCCGCTGGGAAATAACAACAGACTACGAAATGTGCCATGTGCAGAGTCCAAACGAGATCGAAATTTCACATGCGACCTTGTCACTAAAGTTGGATGGCAAAAATGAACTCGGCCAAGCTTTTCTGCAAAACAGAAAGTTCCTACAAAAGCAAGGGGTAGGAGCCTCCTTGGAGAGATAGGAACGTTCAAGCAAATGTATAAGACACACGGATGTATATTGATTGCATTATTGTGTGTATGTTGGCTAAATACTTTAAAAAACATTTATTTTCGGGGGAATAAAGCGGAGATGCACAGAAAATGTGGAATTTTTAGATGAGCCCCCAAGTCCAGTAATCCTTCCTTCTGCATGCCCAGTAAGCAAGGACCCACACATGCCGTCTGGAGGCCCTGTAGCCTAATGGTCAAGCTTGGAGTTTCTAGAGTGAAATCTTCAGGCCTTAGACACCAGCTTTACTACTAATGATCAGCGCGACTTAGAATTCTAAGTTCCTAATCCAGGGGCACAGTGGGTTAAGCATCCGACTCTTGATATCGGCTCAGGTCACGATCAAATGATTCGTGGGATCGAGCCCTGTGTCGGGGTCTGCTCCGACAGCGTGGAGCCTGCTTGGGATTCTCTCTCTCCCTCTCTCTCTGCCCCTCCCCCACTTGCTCTCTCACTCTCTCTCTCTCTCTCTAAATCAATCAATCAATATTTTTTAAAAATTAAAAAAGAAGTTCCTAATCCAGAAAGCATGGGCATAATATTGGTACTTACCTTACATGGCTATTGTGGGAACTGAGTGAGATAATAGATGTAAAGCATTAGACTGGATGCTAGCACATATTAGGAACTCAATAAACACTCTCTATTAATACCACAAATCTATTATAAGCTCTGCAAACCATATCCCTTGGGAGTGTCCACAGCAACCAACAGAGCAGAGTAACCAGTAGTATTCAGCGCATGCCTCTTGCTCAATTTACAAATTAGACTTCCATAACTTGTTTGATTTCCTAAACCCCACAATATAAACAGATACATAAAACGAAAAATTTCTCTTCTTTTTTCCCTGTGGTTATTTCCACCGGCTACTAAACAAGTGCATTGTTTTCAGTGTACTTAATTTTCTGTTTAATTTCGTCTTAGAACAGAGTAAATGCCTATTCCTTGTCATCAGCGTTAAGTCCCATAAAATAATTCTAGATGTCAGCACCATATTAGTACCTCGGGACAAGGTTCCTCAAGATTTCTCCGAGGGGCAGATTCTCCGGTGTGAAGAGGTCCTCCTATTAGGGAAAAAAAAAAAAAAAGAATTCTATGTTAATTTGAAAAATGTGAATTAAACAATGTCAACCAGGCATGCAGGATTTATCAGAGCTTTAAATGTGCTAATATGTGCGATGGCTCTCCAGATGAATATAAAATGCCACGCTGCCCCCAACCATTTGTCCACAGAAGTTCATTTTTCATGGAATTACCTCTTTCACAGCACTATGACCCTCAGACAGAGCTAGTGCTCTATGATCCGCACTTTGGGATACCCTATCTTAGAGGGATGGCCTGAAATCTGCTGACTTTACCCTGGAATGTGGGGTCACAATCCCATGAGAACACAATCATTTTTCTACACAGAAGGGCTGCATGTAAAGCCACAGTGGCTATACAATGTCAGTGCTGAGCCCTAGGGTCGATCCTGATGATTTTGCTGGTCGGGAAGGTGTCTCCTTTTCCTTACGCCACCGCCTCCTGCCTCCGGAAGGTCAGAAAAGCCCAATTCTTCAAAAGATGAATGTAGTACTATTTTCAGCCGAGGCCGTCACTTGTTTTAGAAATGTGTTACGCTAAACGCGTCATCAGTGAATACAACGAAAGGTAACACAATCTACATTTCTATTGTACTTGCCAGTTATTTAAGCCTGCCTTCCAATTTTGTCTCTTGATCAGCTCTTCCCAAACTTTAGGGTCATAATAATCACCCACGGAATTTGAGATACACAGTGATTCTCAGGTTCCACCAACCCACGTATTTTGAAATGCTTCCCTGGTGAGGCTAATGATCGAGCATCCCTGGGAAATTCAAACTTGCCTGCCCCTAAACAAAACCTACTGAATCAGAATCTCCAAAAGTGCAGCAGTTACCCGTTACTGTTTTTTAAACCTCTGACACATTTGGAGAGTCAGTTCTCTGCGGGGAACCATGGCTCTACACCTCAAGTTCATCTACCGACAGCGCTAGAGATAGAACTGCAAGGCGGCTCCTCTAACATTAAGTCCCAGGCTTCTCTCCGGGATCAGTTAACATTGGCCACAAGGTACTGACCAGCACGATGCCCTACACAGTGGTGAAGCCCAAATACATACTGAATGAGGAAGGAAGGAATGTCATAGTATCCAAAAATAAATAACTTTCTTTGAAAACTGGCAGAATTGAGAGCAGGAAATTTGTCCCCAAAGCCCCAATGTGGTTTGATCAAGAGGCTCTTCTTTAGATCATTCTATTCTACCTTTCAGTATTTTCTAGGATGTAAACTAGCTCCTTAGGCTTTCTGTTCATGACATCAAAGACGTTCCCAAAGTTCACCAAGCGGTTTTCTGACTGGTGATGTGGTTGCCCTATACGGTATTTCTGTTTCTGTCTGGTCACCCACCACCTTGAGCCTGGGTCTGTTTAGAATGAGCGTCTACAAGGGCTGTCCTTCCGAGTGGAAAATGAATTGCCCCTTGCTAAAAAGGAGAAGACTCATAACTGGCTTTTGGGTGCTGGACACTTCACGCTAGAGGAAAGAAGCAATCTTAACACAGGTTATGGGACTACATCATTCAGTCAACCTTGGGAATCTTTTATTTGGAGAATTAGCAAAAATAGTAGAAGTAATTGGGAAGTCAAAAAGGATTAAAAGGAAACTTCTGGAGCTAATTTTGTTACATGATTCCCACAAGACACCCCTCAGGAACTAAGATGCAATTTCTTTTTAACAGCTCATCTTTTCTTTTGGAGATATTTGTAGACTTAGGGAAGAGTTTCAAAGATAGCACAGAGAGTTCCCATATGCCCTTCACCCAGCTTCCCCTAAGAAATTAACTTCAGCATAATGCTATTAGCAAAAGTACAGAACTTATTCAGATTTCACCAGTTTTCCCACTAATGTCCTTAAATTTTTTTTTAATGTTTATTTATTTTTGAGAGAGAGACAGACAGAGCATGAGTGGGGAGGCACAGAGAGAGAGAGGGAGACACAGAATCTGAAGCAGGCTCCAGGCTCTGAGCTGTCGGTACAGAGCCCGACGTGGGGCTCGAACCCACGAACCGTGAGATCATGACCTGATCTCAGGTTGGATGCTGAAGTTGGGCACTTAACTGACTGAGCCACCCAGGTGCCCCATAATGTCCCCCCCCACTTTTTTTTTGGTTCCAGGATCCCATCTAGGATTCCACATTGTATTAAATTATCTCGTCTCCTTAGTCTCTTCTGGTTAGTAAGAGTTTCTCTTTCTTTCCAGACCTTGACACTTTTGAAGAGTACTGGTTGCTTGTCTTGTAGAATGCCCATCAACTTGGGTTGGATGTGTTCCCATGATCAGACTGAGGTTATGCATTTGGGGCGACAACAAAATACTGCAGAAGCGATGAGCTCTTCCTGGTGTCACATACCTGGAGGTGCATCATGTCTGTAGGTAGGACCGATGATATGAACTTTGATCACCTGGCTAAGGTGGTGTCTACCAGGATTCTCCACTGTCCACTTACTATTTGTCTCCCTTGGTAATTACTAGATATCTCGAGAGAGATACTCTTTAAGCAAACATCCTGTTTCTTCTTCGACTATCATCCACTCATTTTAACATCCACTGGTGGACTGTTTTCTGAGGTCATTATTGTGGTTTTCTAACTCTATGTAGAACTATTTTCTTTAGAAATTGTATTTTTTATTTCCATCATTCTTTCTACTTGTATTAATTGGAATTCTTCTGTAAGGAAGAGCTGGCATTTCTCCCCCATTTAAAATAAGAGACTCAAAGGATAGAAACAGGCTACCTGATTTTTAGGTAGGCCAGTAGGATGGCACGTAGAGTTGATTTGGTCTTCAGAACATGATGCTATGCCACCAGTCCCTGATGGTATTCTACCCCAAAGACAACAAAATATACGCTAGGCATGGACAATTCTAGAGTTTAAACCTAAACATAGAGCTGGAGCAAGGATGGCGGGGTGGTGATGATGTGAGAAGTCATTATTCCTGGTGGCGTCCATCCGAAGAAGATGGAAATGCTAGCCAGGAACAAAAGAATGTCTGGGGTTCATAGAGTATAGGCAGAAAAGGTTAAACAGATTGGTGGCAGTTGGATACTTGGTCAAAAAACAAGTCACTATCAAGAGTTCAGACAAAAGGTGGCAGGGCGAGTAAAGAAATTCTAGAAAGAACATAGATGTCAAGGCGATTAAGACTGGGCACTGAGGAGTCTGGGTGAAATCATGGAGACCAGGCAAAATGTGACGGACCTGGAAAACAGGAAAGATTGGCTGGCGGAGTCAGAATTACTCTCCGTGGAGGGCCAGGGAATATATGTTTTGGGCTTGTGGGCTGTATGGTCTCTTTCCAACAACTCACTTCTGCAACTAGTGTGAATGCAGCCACGGACAGTATGTAAGGGAATGTCCATGCCAGAATTTGGTTTGTGGTGAATCAAATTTGGCCTGTGGATTGTATTTCCCTATTCTGAAGCAAATAAAGCCAACAGTACACCCAGGACCACAATGTCCTTTGGGCTCTACATACAGTGCCTTTTGGTTGGTCTTGACTTAAAGACATCCCTAAGGGGCAGAGGATTAAAAAAAAGGACTACGGTCACTTCAAATAAGGTATACAATGTTGGCGATTCTTGATAATCAGGGATCCTGGAGTTACTCGTTGCTCTGTATCTAGATATAGATTGTTTAAAATACATTCCTCCAAATTAGATATATTGTACACTTTTGTCTGGAGGTCAAATTTTACAAGGACTTCATGTTGAACTTTCTTGAGATATTTTGAACCAAAATGGAATATAAGCCACTATTATTAAATGGTCTCGTCACTTGGAACTTTATGGTATCGGTAATGTGAACCAAGTTCTTGCCTTAAATTATTTCATTAAGTTGAAATAAAGGAAACACTAACATTCTCTCCATCCTCTAATCCGGTGTTTTGTTTAATGTTCTTCTTAAACATTATGCCTTTGAAATATAAGCTTGTAGAGCATAATGGTGGCTAAATAGAGGACGATGAACTAAAGCAGACCTTCAGATCGTTTTGCCGTAGGAGAGTCAGAATATATCAAAAGCATTTAAGTAACCCTTTTAGGAGTGAGATATCAATTCTATTTTCATCACACCCTCTGGGCTTTTCTTCAATCTCTGAAATCCTTTCTCTATACCTGGGATCTCTGTGAAGATATTCTGTATATTTATCCTCAAGGAGCATGAAAACATTTTGGAATTCTTTGCTAAACGAATTTTATGATAGTTTACAATTTTAACAGGCTTGGAAGTTACGGAGATGCAAACATAATGCAAGATAGGTAACGTGCACTGCCACTCATCTTGGGGATGAATAAGGAGAGAAAAAATCCCTTTCAGCATTATCAGTTTCCATAATGTCTTACTCATTCCCTGGAAATTTAATTTTGAAGCTGGGTCACACTTAAAAGATTTGATTTGAAGTAAAAAAAAAAAAAGCCAATTTCAGCAAAATATTAAGAAGCTGTTCTCACGTTTTAAATTTCACTAGACTGATTTTTGGTGTAAGACACACATAGATCCATGTGTCAATCTACTCTGTAAGTTGAGTTACTCTAATTATTGAGTATTAATAACTGAGTTATTAAGCATATTGTTTTCCAGGTAAGAAACTTGTCAGCAATTTGCTTTTATCTCGTGAAAAAAATAAAATAATCGTTTCCTACCCAAACACTAGTAAACAGACTATAGAATAACGTGAGTTTCAGGGCTACGGGTATTCTGAGCATTATATTCATGCATTCCTTTGGGCATAAATTAAGTCGGCCACAGGGCAGCCGGAGGGTGACCACAACTTGACAAACCTTACGGTTCAGCAGATGTGGTTGTAAGATACGGCTTCACTGAAAAATATTTCCCACTAAGCAATTTTAGGACTCTACCCTGAGGTTTTCATTTAAAAACTTGGAATTTCCAACAGAAAAGTGGGTGGTACCATCATATTGGTCTTAGGATACAGAAATATTTAGTTGCCTCAAGTAAGCGGTAATGTGAATCAACAATATCTCA